GAGGGAGGGAGGGAGGAAGGGAGGGAGGGAGGAAGGGAGGGAGGGAGGAGGGGAGAGAAAACGAGTTTTACTCACTTTTCTTCTTTAATTCCTGCACTGGATTCAAACTGCGATCCTCAGTTTTCAGCTCCTAATTAGTTGGGATTACAGGCATGAGCCACCAGTACCCAGATCATTCATTACCTTATCTCCAGAGTTTTGACCAATTTCCTTCCTTTCATTTATTCTTGTTTCAGATCTATATTATTATCAGACTATTTTAGTTGTTACATCACTTCTTAGCTAAGTTCACTATAGAAAGGAACATGATATTTTTCAGACTAGGAACTAGGAAACTATCAAAATTGAGAGGGTATTCCTGTCTGCAACACTTACATTTTCTTGTTCCAAGTGGCCTATAGTAGCTCCTCATTTTTTGTATTTTTGTCTATTTTAACCTGTGCTCTTTATATCAGCTTTCTTTATATCATGAAGTTTCATGTTTCTAGTCTAACTCATTCCTTATTTCTTTAATTTGATTATTTATGTCTATCTATAGATATATCTAGATATATGACAGATAAATCTACAGCTAGATATATAAAGGTAGATAGGCATATAGATAAGTAGATACATGGATAGATAGGTAGACAGACAGACAAACAGACAGAAGTCTCTGTCTCTCTGATTACAAATGCATCTGACATCATCCCACACAACCATGCAAAGATGGACATATTTGGCTTAGTATAATCAGTGATTCCTTCTTAAAAATACTTTTATTGTTATTATAAAGGTGATATACAGAAGGGTAGCAGTTATATGTGAGGTAAAGAGTACATTTCTTTCTGGACAATGTTTTACCTTCCCTCTCTCTCTCCAAGTTTTTCCCTCCCATCTCCACCCACAAGTTGTATACAAGTAGTACATTTTCAGCTTAGTGTCCAATGAGTATCATTGCTGCATTTGTTCACCCTTTGGCCAGCGATTCTTAATCTTGACTGTACTTTAGAATTATGTGGTGTGTTTGTAAAACATTCTATTTCTCAGATTCTATTCTCAGACCAAATGCTTTCTGTAGAACAAATATACATACAAACATAGAGACACATTTCTATGCCTTTGTGTTTATTACATTTAGACTTGGCAAACTACATGGAAAGACATGTATTATGACATTAAAATAACAGACATAGAGGTTTAGGGAGAATAAGGATAATCCCAGCATGTGGAATGTTAGGAAAATTTTTATGGAGTCTCTTGCTGTACGTGTGTTTTGATTTCAAAATGAGTGAGTAAACAGATAGTAGATATTGGGAAGTCTGTTTTCTCACTATCAGAGAAAGAAGTTCAAGTAATTAAGGGAAGAAGCTAGACTAAATTATGAACATGGATTAGAATCAGATTACATAATCAGATCAATTTTTTATATACTGCCTTAGGTTTGGCTGCTAAAATAAAATGATTTAGAATGGACAATTAATAAGCAACAGATATGGAGGCTAGAAAGTTCAAGATCAGGGTGCCAGGAGATTAGATGTCTGCTGAGGACCCACTCACTGCTAGCCACGTTTTCACATGGTAGAAATGGGTCTAAGAGGGTTTTAGTCCTGTTTTATAAGGACATTAATTTCACTTATGAGGATGGAACTCCTGTGACCTAATCATCTCCCAAGGACACCTCTTTTTTTTTTTTTTGGTTGTAAGGCTTGAACTCTGGGAGCTCTTCAGCTCAACTCTACTACTTGAGCCACAGCCCCACTTCTGGTTTTCTGGTGGTTTATTGGAGTTAATAGTCTCTCGGACTTTCCTGCCCAGGCTGGGTTTGAACCAAAATCCTCAGATCTCAGCCTCCTGAGGATTACAGGTGTGAACCACCAAAGCCTGGCCCCACCTTTTCTTTTACTTATTTTTTTGTCAGTCCTGGAGGTTGAACTCAGAGCCTAGGCACTGTCCTTGAGCTTTTGTGCTCAAGGCTAGTGCACTAACACTTTGAGGTACAGCTCCACTTCCAGTTTTCTGGTGGCTAATTGGAGATAAAAGTCTCATAGACATTCCTGCTCCAGCTGACTCTGAACTGTGATCTTCAGATCTCAGCCTCCTGAATAGCTAGGATCACAGGTGTGAGCCCTGCAGCCCCACCTTTTAATACCACATTGGAGATTACTTGCAAATTTTTGCTGGACACACTCATTCAGACCATAGACTATGCAGATATACAAATAAAATGATAGAAACTAGGCACTGGTGATTCATAGCTGGAAATCCTAGCTACTTTGAAGCCCAAGATCAGGAAAATCACAGTTGAGGGACAGCTTCAGCATATAGTGAGATCACGTCTTAACCAATAGCTAGGCAAGGTGGCACTCACCTGTATCCTAGCTATGTGAGAGGTTGAGACAGTATAGTTGCCAGGCTGACATGGGAAGAAAAGTCTTAGAGATTCCATCTAATGGAAACAGAATATGGACATGATAGTGAGGCTCTCATCCTAGCTACATTGGGAAAGCAAAAAAAAAAAAAAAAAAAAGAATAGGATTTTGGTCCAAGTGTGAGCCCTGACAGGAAGCTAGACCTTAACTCAAAAATAACTATGGAAAAAATGGAGTCATGCCTCAGTGATAGAGCTACTGACTAGCACGTATGAGGCCCAGAGTTTAAAAATCCTGTACTACCCCTTCC